CATAGTTCCTATTTTATAAATGGACTAGCTTAAGCACCAATTATTTATTTAATTTATCATATTCACACTATTAATAAACCAGATCTGTGATCTGATTACAGATTTACTGATGCTGCCCATCTTACCATGTTCATCTCAATGAGATTTGTTTGCATTTTTCCCCGAGGTGTTTGTTTTCTCTTTCTGTTTTAGTCATTACGATGACTGCATTCATTATTAGTGACAACAAATCTTAGTTGGAAAGAGTCAAGGAGTGGGTAAATTTAGCAGCCAATTTCTCCACCTGAGTTCTAAAGGTAGGGACTAGTGTGTGAGTGCTAAAATGCTGTCATATGGAAGTTGTTAGGTGGCCTTGGGTTTGTTGGCAGTCATCTAGGGAGAGCTTGTCAAACCGTTCTCCTCCGTGCAAAAAGCGGGAAACATTACTGGGGCATTCTTCCATTTTTTTTGTGCTCTACAGCTTACTTGTAATCCTCCTGTCAATTTCTTTTTCATTCCAACCATCCATCATCATTCGGCATTTTCTCTGGTGCCCATCACCAGGCCTTCCCAGCTGAGATTAGCCTGCAAGCATAATGAATGAAGGCGAGAGTTGTCCCTGTCTGGTCAGTTCATGTTTCAGAGTTTGAGCAGCTTGCTCCTTAATGGTCTTGACAGCAGTTCCCAGGCTGCTGGGCTGAATGGAGGCGCATGTGAAGAAAGGTGAGCTCTATTTCTCACCCGGAATCCTGAAATGCCAAGGGTCCATTGAGAGTACATTTTGGTGGTAGTCACTCTGAGACTGTGGTCTTTGATCCAGGCCTTTCTTCAGCTTCATTTTCAAAATTAGTCCTTCAGGATGCTACTTCTTTTTAATTTTTAAAATGAATAATTCAGTACCTTTGCCAGTTTTGTGCTATTATAACAGAAAAATCACAGACTGAGTTGTCTGTAATGAACGGAAATTCAATGGTATATAGATCTAGAGGGTTGGAAGGTGAAATTGAGGGGGAACAATTGACTATTTTTGTTTATCATACCATTGATAGAAGACAGAGGAAGGGTGAGAGAGAAAAGGGGCTCAAGTTTCTATAGTCATCCCTGTCCTAGGATGTTTGCTTGAATCCATGCATAGACACCCTCATGACAAAATTCCCAGATTCCAATACTGATGGTGTTTGTGGATCACTTTCATACCACAGCGTTTAGTACCTTAGATATAGACGTCTGCTTTATCAGATCCAGTGACGGTCACAGAAGCATGGAGCTGAAGGAACACGTAAGGTTCTTATAGGGAGAATTTTGCTGAGGTTAAAGTAGACAGAACAGAGTCTTTTTCAGTGTTAACAGCAGCACATCACATGAATCCATCATTTCCCCCAGCTTGAGGAGTTTTATGTGGTGGAACTGTGGCTAAGTTTGGAACTTCATGCCCTGTCTTCCTCCCTTCATTGCCACAGCCTCATCTCTCCCACTGACATTTCTAGTGGTTTCTGTTTTCATAGTTGGTATTGTTACTTTTTTTATATATATTGGCTCTATTCATTGCTATAAACATACATTAAATATTCTAACTACCAGTAAGGCTTTGGGAGGACAAAGCAAATTGTTTACTTATGCTAGGCTTTGACAATTGGCAGTATATTTTCACATACACTTTCCCATCTAATTTTAATATTATTTCGTCCGCTTAGGTCTCCATTTTTTTTTTCCCATTCATACAGCAGATGCATGCCTGCTTCATCTCTTTTCATAGTGATAAGTTATGGAAGCTTAAATGAAGTCATATAATGTTGATAAAAGTGACATACGTTAAGGTATATCTGAATTGTTTTATATAAAATTACTTTTAATGGAGTTGTGGGTTTTGGGAAATGGAGTTGGCTATTTTAGGTTGGATATTGTACTTAATGGATTGGCAGAGGAAATGTGTATCCAGAAGTGAGCCCAGTATAGACCAGACACACAGGCCAGGTGGACGCACACTGTATAAAGTGTATGCGAGGAAGTAGCTGACTGCCTCTTGGTTATTCTACTCTAAATTTAACTATGGACTCCTTAAAATCAAAGCACTTGATACTTTGAATAATCATTAAAAGTCACCTATCTTATGTCAGTTTGAGGTAGTACTCACCCTGGATAGAATTGTGGTTTTTTTTTTTTTTTTTTAAATCCATCTCATATAAAGGTTTTTTGTTTTGTTTATGTATGCTGTTCCTGGGGTACAGAATATAACCCTATTTCTCCTGTACATGACCTTGGCGATTCTGCTGTGATTTGGTTTTTTGTTCTTGAAAGGAAAATTGTTGATGAAGAAGATAAATCTATTCTTTGTTTCACTTCTCTCTTTGTAGATGTTCAATATGATCTTTTGAGGAAGAGGTTTGTTAAAGGAGTAGTTTTTTCCAAGCTCTATCTATTTACGTGCTTATCTGCTTTGTTTCTGTGTATTCATTAAACCCAGGGTCTTGCTCATGCAGAGCACATTATTATAGCTGAGCTGTACCCTAGTCGTTGAGTTGGTCTTGATGCTTCCATTTCAGTTGCAAAACTTAACAAGGCGTCAGTAATGTTCATGTCATTGTGTTGGGGTGCAGGCCATTCATTTAAAGGAAGAGCTTTACATGTCATTGCATTTTGTTAGAAATTCAGAACTGTGCTCTGTTGGTTTGGAGGAAACAACAGGTCCAAACAGTATCTGTCTAAATGTCTCTGGGAAGTGTTGATGATTCTGAATGTAGATTGCTGAAGCTTCATATGGTTTTATCAGTTTCTTAGATGCTGTGGAGACTACAAAGGTAGATAATAAAACAGTTTTGTTTGTGTCTGATACATTCAAAGAATTCTAACCATAAGGAGAGAGAAAGATATGTAAATGTAGGATGCTATGGTTTTGAAGAAACTCACCAATATCATTGTTTTCTTTTTTCTTTTCTTTTTTTTTTTTTTTTTTTTGTGCTAGAATTCTAAATCACTTGAGAAATAACATCAGGTAAATGAAAAGTATAGTACCAGTTGTACACTAAAAATACTGACACTGAAGAACATAACCTAGCTTAGGGTAGAGTTGCTAGTTGAACATGGGAGGTGGATATATTTACCCATCTAATAGAAGGTGTTAGACCACTTACTCCTCCCCCTTTTTTGATAGTGAGGACCTTTTTAGGTAAACTTTCCTCCCTCCCTGTATTGAAACAAAGGTCTTGCATGTGTTCCGCAGTTTTTCTATGCTTGAATTATATCCATAGCCTTACCAACATAAACCAAACTACATTTACCACCTGGAGATGCCATGGTTTTTCAAATGGAATACTGGGGCTTCTCAGGCCCATATATGCCCCCTTAATTTTTGCCAGTTAAAAGAATTCATTTCTCTTAGTGTAGATAAAAGTGGAGAGAAGATAGAGATTAAAGCAGTTGAATTATTAAAAACAAAGCAAAAAAAAAAAAAAAAAAACCCTCCCAACTTCTGAAGTTATATGCAGCTTTGTATATTCTAAACTCAGCAACTAAATCTGCAAGATTGTAATGGTAAATTGTTTCTGCTTCAGAGCATGTGAACTTGGCAGTTACTTCCTGCACTTTGACCTTTTGATGTTTCAGCTAATTACCAATTAAGAACCAATTAAGGAAAGAATTTAAGTCCTGGTTTCCATTGCAAAACCTGCTTTAAGTCTTGTGATAGCATCAAGTAAGCAACAATTTTTATATTTTGCCAAATATGTATTAGCAGCTTGAGATAAAATCCTGCATACAATGTGGCACACCCTTTTTATACAATTATATTCTTGATAATGTAAGGTGGCACTTAATTGGAAAACATGTATATTGCCAGCTCTGAACCAGTGATTTCAAGGGTTGGACTGTGTATAGTATATGGTTTTAAGAATTTCTTGATGAGGTTTTTAAAAATTTTGCGTGTGTGAGTATTACTTCCACATATTCTGTAGGCTACCTGTGTTTACTATGTCCTAGATGGCCAGACGAGAACATTGGATCCTTTGGAATTGGAGTTGCAAATGGTTTTGAGTTCTCATGTGTGTAAGGAATACAGTTTTCCTCCTGCCGCTGCGCCAGCCCCAATTAACACACTGAGACTCTGTATTTGATATTATTCTGTTGGCCCATTACTAGTTTTTTATCGGCTAGCTCTGTCTTAGTTATTAACCCATTTCTATGTATTTCCACGTCGTCTCCTTACCGGGGAGTAGGGCAGGTGTCTGGTCTCCCCGGTCTCTCCATGCTAACTGACTCCTTCCTCCTTCCTATTTCCTCCTTGTCTCCTAGTCCCTCCTATCTTCCTTTCCTATTGGCCAACAATGCTTTATTCATTAACCAGTATGAGAAACATATACAGAATGACATCTCCCATCACATGTGGGTGCTAGGGACAGAATCCAGGTCCTAGAAAAGGGTACCAGTGTTCTCAACCACTGAGCCACTTTTTTCCCTAAGTTTATTTTTCTTGTATTTACTTATTAAATATACTCAACGTATTTATGAAACTATGTATTTAAATAGCCAAGTAAGCTTTCTACTATGATAAAATGAAGATCACAATAAATTAATATTTTAATGACTAGGATTCTTTCTCCTAGTGTTACATAAAATGATAACGTGTCTTTCAATCCCTGTGCTTTTTGTCTCAATAGGATTTATGTACATTTTACAATCTGGGGTTCTTTAAGTGTAACTACTTCTTTCTCTGTTTACCCTACTGTCCAAAGAAGACCTTGCTGACTAGTGATAAATGTTTCAGCCTCAACTATACTGTTATCTTGAGTCATTACTTTACATATATCATTGATTCTTCTTGGACTTTCATTTTTCTCTTTGTTGGGTAATTATGCCATAGATTGTTGAACAGAAAGATTGGATCATATCATTTGCAATAACATAAATACTGTGGGTAACTTACATGGCAGCCCTTGTGACAATAGAACATCCACACAGATAAGCTTGGTTGTCTTAACTGTAAAACTTCTAACTAGCTAAATCTCGGTTTTCATTTTTCTGTGAAGGAGGTCCCGATGACAACTTAATTGAAGGTGGAGGAACAAAATTTGTCTGCAAACCTGGAGCCAGAAATATCACTGTTATATTCCATCCATTACTGAGGTAAGTCATCCCCTGTGATGTACTTACCCATGATCATATTCTCATTATTTATGCTGATGTGCTGAGTGCCAATAGTTCAGCCAGCACTGAGTCAAATCATTAGCAATAAGAAACTTGTTTCATTTTGTAAGGTTTCACAGTGAAACTTAGTCAATAGAACAGATAATGTCAGCCAAGCCGCTCCCTGTTCTCAGGAGTAATAGCTCACAGACACATTAATTTGATTTTCTTTACTTTCTTCTTTAGTCCTGCCCATCTTCTTCCTCCCTCTTCTTTTTTGGATTGATCTCAGTGGTTGGCAAGCCAAGGCTCACTGGGGACATGGAGCCTGCCATCTGTTTTCATAAACACACATTTGTTGCCCACAGTCTTGCTCATGTGTCCATGTGTAGCTTTATTCTGCCTCTCACCCACCACAGAGACCGAGCATCACATCGTAACTCGTGGCCTGCAAGCCTGCGAGTTTTTTCTGTAGTTCTCCACAAGAAAAACAAATTACTGACCCAAGCTCTTTCTCACTCATTTACACTAATTACTCCTTCAGTATCTTTTGAGAATTACCAAGTCCCTGAACAGATGTGATTTATAGAAACCTGAAAGATATTAAGAGTAAAATATATGGCTTTTGTTTCTCAGAAGATGATTTGGTGGTGAGCAGAATAAAATCTGTTATATTGTTCACTTCTTGATTATACTATATTGTAGCAAAGAAAAATTCATGATGCTTAAGTACTTTGAAACAGGTACTTTTCTGGAAGGATTAGTAGTTACAAACTTGCTATACAATTAATGATTTCTAGAAATCTGTGTCCATGACAGAGTTAAAACTGTTTATAAAATTATGAAAAGCTGAGATGTTACAGATTCTGTGATTTATTAAATTGTTTTTGAAAATACAGAAAGAACAAACATTGTACATATTAAGAGGTAACGTGATGTTTTCATACATAGAAGAACCTGATACTACCATGGTAAATATCTTAGACATTTATCACTTTTTGGCAAAACCTCCAGGTTCTTACCAGGGAGGGCTGCAAACACATTGTCTGCAGCCCTTCCTACTGCAGAACTGCATCCCAGTGGCCACTCATAGTCTAGCTTTAGCCCATCCCCTCTTTCCCTACTTAACCTGTCCTCTGTTAACCAACATTCCACTCTGAAGCTGTATGAGATGAACGTTTAGATTCCACAACAGTGAGATCGTGCAGTTTGGTTGGTGTTGTCACCAATGACAGCATTGAATAGTATCCCATTGTGTACATGCACACTCCTATAGAGTCATCAACTGAAGGTCACTCGGCTATTTCCACCTTTCTTTTCGGTATGCACCCAGCATGGGATTGCTGGATCATATGAAGATAGTTCTGTTCTTAAGTTAACATTATTTTACTGTATACTTAAAATGCTTGTTAAGGGAAATTTAATATCTTATGTTTACTGCAGTTTATAGAAGGAACTTTGTAATTATACAATACTGCTTTTCCCTGTAAAACCATTATATCCTTACTGTATTTATGTTTGAAGTAACACAAACCCTTTATAAGGTGTAGCTCTGAATAATATTTTAACCCTCTAAAACTTTTGCTGCAAGTAAATTCACTTAGGAATCATGGGGTTAAGAAAAATAAGACAATTTAATTGGTTGATACATATTATATATATTACATATAATAGGTCAATTATGATCTAAACTTCTGTACTTAACAATGTTGTCCATATATGCGGGGACTTTGGTAATTCATTTAGTGCATGTTCTGCAATTACAATTGATTTTTTTCTGAGTGCCATTAATTTCTAAGAAAACAGGAGTGTGCCTGAATCCTTATAGACCTCGTCTAATGTTTCTTAGTTGTTCCACAGTGTGAATTGAGTCCTTGTGTACACATTTATTTCCAGTATGGAAGGAAAAAGCTTTTTAATGCTTTCTAAAAATCATGATTCCCTCTTCTCTTACCCATCCCATTTGTATTTTAATTCCAAACTTTGTTATTGTTGACAAGAACTGAAGGTTTGTCACATGAAATAATTCACCATTAGTTATTTCTTTGTGTATCTCTTAATGTCAGTAACAAGAATATTGTGTGGCTTGCAAGGTGAGTTAATTCTCTGTTAAGCATGTGACAAGGACAAGCTTTACGTTAGCCTTTATCTTGCTCCATAAATGCATGTTGAGTTTCATTACAATCTAATAATGGACGAGTAGACCTTCAAATGGCTAAGCCCATTGGCTGTTACCTTCCACCATTTTCTTAGTGTCCATTATTTCTTCTTAAGTTTGGAAATTAAAATTTGTAGTTGGGAGAACCAACACATGTATAGTTTATTCCACACATTGATTTCCATCATGAGTTAACTCATTACAAGTAGCTATAGTAATAGACTATTATGTTATTATATTATTTGTTATGCTATATTATATCAATATTAATAGACTTCAAACCTATGTTCTTATTAAAAGAAAATATGGCAGGATGAGACAGGCTAAATAGAAGACTGGAAAGATGTCGTGGGGAGTAGGAGACTTGGGATTTAAAGTGAAAACCACAACATGGTATGTAGGCTCATGTCTAGGCTATTCCGTTATGTTTTGTCACCAATTATTTCCTGGACCCTGCTCCTGTGTGAGGTGAAAGGGAACAAGATTAGATCACATTCTTGTCTACAAGGTGCTTACTGGGTAACTTGCTTGATAGGAGACAGAAGTTGGCAAGTCCAGGCACAGCAGTTATTGGGAAGGCTGCGAATCAATGGAATCGTTTAAACCTGTCAGTGAGCATATGCATGTAGGGTCTCTCTTGAACCAGTATGAGAATTCTTAGAATCACATATCCTATTGCCCATGGGTCACCATCTTCCTCCTGCTATTCTGGATAGATTCTCTTTAGATGAAGTATCTCATATTCCTGACTCATCTCAAAATTTTTATTTTTGTTTATAGCTTACATCATAATTATGGGGTACAGAAGTAACTTTCCTCACAATGACATTCATCACGAGTTCATTAAGGACAACTAATATTGGTGGTAATAGACTGTGTGAGCTTCCTTGTATCTTTTACTGAGCTCAGATATTTTCCTTGCCGGGAGACAGATTTTCCTCTGGTATTTCCCCGTGTCCAGCATCAGTGGTGCTCTGTCTTCCAGAAACTTTGCATATAGCTTTGTACACTTCATTTATGAAGAAAGCACTTTGGTAATTTCTGTTGGGCTGGCACTGCATCCTTCTGTGCCTGGGGCTTTTTTATATTGGAAACTGGGTGCCCTTCTGAGAGCACTGCAGAGATGATTCCCGTTATTGTGTTTGATGTATTCCCAGAAGTCATGTGTACTTCCCTCTCATCAAATTATTCTACAAGGTCTTCCATTCTGGTAACCTTGTAGTCTTATTTTCCTCCTCTCCTCATAACCAGGGCAGCCTTATCACTAGGAAATCACATTGGCTGTTGGAGGCAAATGTACTGGCTTCAGTTGTTCACCCCATTAACTCGCTTGGCCCTTTTATGTTTATTTAATATCTTTCCTTACTGTTTTCTTTTGGTCAATCTTGTATCTTAAAAAAGATGGGATAGCATCATCTTGCCCGCTTTACTCTTAGAGTACCAAGGAATTGTAAGCAATTGAAGCCCAGTGAAAGAAAACTTGCAACAAGAACAGCTCATTTCATTGATTTTTCTGCCTGTTGAGCTAAATGAGAAACAGCATATTGAAACAAAATTTGTATTGGCCAAATTACAGTGAGTTTTAGCTCTTCTTTATTTCTGCATTTTAATATTTATGACTGTGATTGGGCAATGCCTTTATATTTCAGGAATCTGAGGGCCTTATACTTGAAAAATTAAAAGTTCAAATGATAAGTGAATTTTACAGTGTGTTATTGGCTGGGTGTTTTTTTTAAGAAAGTCTGAACTGGCAAGGTCTTTGTGAGAGCTGTTAATCAGACATGATGATGTAGTAAGAGAAGCAGCCTGAGTGTCTGAGGGAAGAACCCTGGCCAGGAGAAATGCGATGAGAAGGGAAAGGTGGCTCCAACATAAAAGGGCTTGCTGGAAGCCAGGGTGGGCTCTCCAGTGGCCCCTGTTGGAGCATGTGAATTGGCCACTTCCACTCAAAGTAGTTAGAATATACATGCTTTCCTTTTGCTTGAATAAAGAGGGCAGTATATTTACACACACACACACACACACACACACCCCAAAAAAAAAAAAAAAAAAAAAAAAAAAAGAACACTACCTTTGTAATTCCCCAAAGCATAGGAAGTAAAGAGAAAGCCTGGTAATACTTGGTAATACTGGCATTCAGGAAACATATTAGGCCCCTTACTGGATCTGAAGTGTAGAAGAACCCTTTCTAAGGACAAGATTAGTATAGCTTAGTGTAGTTAGTATAGGTTCATATAGTTTACTGCAGCGGAAATGATACATCCCCCTCCTACCAATGATATGTCTAGAAGTAGAATATGAATTTGATGCAGCTCATTTTTATTATATTCTCTCCAGTGTTGTTTGGCAAATGATGTGTGGTGAAGATCGGAATGTCAGGAAGATTCTTCCTGTGTGCGATTGCTGATTCAGTGTATTGTTTTCCACGGAAGCAATGAATGGTCTGGCGGCCTTCATTACAGAAGTCCTGCCTTGTTTTTGTTTTTTTTGTAGTAGGATTTTCATGCTAATCTTAGAGAATAACCACAGAAGAGTGACTTCACTGGCAAATTACCTGTTAGCCTAAACCTAGTCTAGCACAAAGGATCTGTTTTGGAAATGCTTCCAAGATCATGAGCCTTTCTAATGGAAACCTTGCTTTAAAACCTTCCTTATTCAACTCCTTTCCCTGCTTGCTATTGGAGTTCCCTCTTATGTTCAGAAAGCGTGTAATAACTCCTTCCCCGAGGGGAACAGTACAAAAGAGGGGACAGGCATGGCCTTCTGTAGTCAGGGTAAGAGCACAGTGAGTGCATCCCTACGGTACATGCTCCGGTCCTCGGTGGGAAGCTAGAAAGTGATT